GTTGGGGGGGGTGTCTTCTTTAAAGGGGTCCTTTGCACCTGCATGCAGACTAGTAGTCATGGAACCTGGGGCTGACCAGGGTACTGCCTGAGTGCATTCTGCCAGGTGACAGGGGCAGGCCAGCACAATGCCTGAATCCTTATGCTATCAGCTAAGCTACTTTCCAACTCCATGCTCCACAGGAATAATTTCTTATCCCCAGGTGTTAGAAATAGTAGCCCCAAGTGCAAATTCTCACTTTCCACAGCCTTTGGTATTAAGTCTTTGACAAACTCAAGAAACTATGTTTCTTCAAATGAGCTCCGTGGACTATTATAAACACTATGGGGTCTGTAATCTGGAAACAAAGGTATTTTGACTCTGGATGAGTAAGTGGCCCAGTAACCATTCATGACTACTCCGTGCCAGCACAGAGATGTCACTGCTAAAGAAGGGCTCTAGGAGAGTGTACCACACAGTGCCAGGAAGCTTCCACCTCACATCTTGGAAAGATAGGCGTCAGCACATTTACTCCAGAGCAGAGCAAAGCATCTAGAGTGCCTAACAAGAGGTCCAGAGCAACTCCCCTTCATCGGGCCTGCCTCTGTACCCCGCAGGATAGAGTACTGCTGCAACATGCTCTTTAGGAGGCTGGCATGCAGGAAGTTCTCCAGGGAGTGCTGTTGGCAGCAACATCTGTGACACAGAAGGAAGAGAACCACCTTGGCAGAAAGAAGGAGAGGTGGATGATGAAGCCACCTCAATCAAAATCTTGGCTGCCCAAACAGGAACTCTGGAGACTGGCAAGGTTGAATAATTCTCCATGGTCATACAGGTGAGAGTGACATGGCATCTCATAGTATTAAAACTGACTTCGGAGAAGCAAGAGAAACTTAGAAACTCCAGGGTTAATGGTTTCCCAAAGTGCCACAGAATGTTAAATATAGTTCCAGCATATTTTTATAAGTATGCAGGGAGGACCGACTAAGGGGAAAACATCTGTAAAGGCTGGAGGGAGGAGCAAGAGGTTGAGAACCTATTCCAGAGAATGCTCAGGGGAAGTTATTGTGTAAGCCTAGGCAGAGCCTCAGGCACTTAATTACAGAGGAATGAGGAAAGAGGAAACGCCACCAGGTGGGCTTCTCCAGGCCTTGTGGAGCCACGTGGGTGTCTCCTTGAGGAAGAAATGTCCCTTTCAGAGACAAGGCTGTGTCCATAATGTAAAGGGCGGATTACAAACAGGAACAATCATAGATAAGAGGATGATACAGCAAACCCAGAAAGACAGAATGAGAGAGGGTGAACACAGGGAGAGATTTGCCAGAGATTAAGTCAGATAGATTGGTAAGGTTTGGAAGCTGATTTAGGAGATGGGGGAAGGGAGTCAAATGCAACCTGGAGCCTTGGTGCTTTTGGTTTCTGGGAAGAGATGGTCCCATAGGCAGAGCAAACCTAGAATACATTTTAGAGTCAATAATGTGTGCGAGGTCCCTGCAGGACACTTGGGGGGCGGTGAATTATGGAAGAAGTGATGTTTGAAATTGTGGGGGTAAAGGGAGGTTCTGGGGCCCACAGCAGAGGCAAAGAAAAGGGAATTAGAAGGAGTGGAGATGAAAGGAGGAAAAGAAGCAGGAGAGGAGGGACCCATTCCAGTATAGTGGCTTACATTTGTTTCCCTAGCACTCATGAGGCTGAGGCAAGAGGACCAAAGGTGCAAGCCAAGTCCAAGCTACATAGTGAAAGCCCACCTGAAAACAAACAAACAAATAAACAAAAATGATTTGCAAGGCAGAGGGGGTCAACATATCAGACAAGAAAAGTTGGGAACATAAAGGCAATTTTGAGACACAGTATCATATATCCCAGGGTGTCCTATATCTCGGGGTGTCCTTCAACTTGCTTTGTAGCTGAGGATGACCTGGAACTTTCCATCCTCCTATCTCTACTTCCTAAATTTGGGTATTACAGGTATAGGCCACTATTCATGGCTTATGCAGTGCTGAGGACCGAACCTAGGGCCTCATGCCTGTAGGCAAACACTATTGCCCAAGCCCACGACATTTGTTTAAGTGTTAGAAGATCCACCACCATCTTAGAAAGAACATGTTTAACAGAATGAAAGCCACACCATTAGGGACTGGAGATCCCAGCAAAGAGTTTGGACTCAGAAACCCGGTAGGCCCACCTGGTCCCATTACTTACTGGGCTCATAGTCTTCAGTGAGCCCTCTGCTTCATTAACTCATCTGTACACATTTGGATGGTGAGTCAGCTTTAAGAAGACTAGAGATCAAAAAGGGTATATGTTTACAGAGCAAGGCATGTATTAATTGCTCAATAAAAGCCCCCGCTAGGGTGTGTGTGTGTGTGTGTGTGTGTGTGTGTGTGTGTGTGTATGTTGCTAAGGACTAAACTCAGGGCTAATGCAAGCTTGGCAAGCACTATCCAGTGAGTACCATCACAAGCCTTGGTTAATGTATTTGTCTGAGCTTTTGGTGAGGAAGAGGGTAAAGTGGGTTGCATTCATTTCTTTGCTGCACAGTAAGAAATAACCACAAATTGGGTGGGTTGACAGGTGATAACCTGACTCTACCATGAGCCTGGAAACTGTAAGCCTGAAGTTGAAGAGTTATTAGGGCTTGATTGATTCTGGCTTCTGGGGTTCCCAGATGTTTGGAAGCAGTGTTCACCTCTGCTGCTATCTTCACATGACATTCATTCTGGTAACACACTGGCTGGGACAAAACCAATTTCACCCCAGTGGAAATGTCCCTGCTTTATCTTTAGCTAATGTCAGAACTGGGCACATCTCTGGAGGCAGGGTCAGTGGCTATAGCATGCTCTGTACACTCCACTGTAAGGCTCTGCTTACAGTTTCCTGAGAAACTGTGAAAAAAAAATAACAAATAGGATTAGTCTGGGGGCAGTTATGGAGGTAAGATGGCTACAGTTGTGTAAAGCTGGATTTGTATGCAACAGTCATTTGTCGGCCGCAAATCTACAGTGATTTTGCCTAGTTGTTCTGTGAATTAAATATTCAGAGACTGTTTCCAAATGATGACATGTTCTGAGTTTGAGATGGATACTAGTCTGGGTCAAACACTCTTCCATTACATGAGGATAAGGCCTGGTTTAGAGACATCCATGGTGTTTGTGTTGAGGAGGGGAGAAACATGGCTCCATCCCATTGATTATTTTCTGTGATGGAAGACAACAAATTTTGATGGGGAGAGGCATCCACTGAGGGGCATTTGAGAAGCACTGCCCATGAGAATGGGAAGAGAATGAGAGCCATAGAAGTGCAAAAATGTAAGTACAGGGAAGGGGTGGGATAGCTTTGCCAGAGGCAGCATCATGCCTGCATACTTCAGTATAAGCAAGAAAAGAAAGATGATAGTGTATAAACTGGCTTCACATAATTATAAGAAACATCTGAGACCATCAGTTTATAATGAGAAAAGGTCTATTCTGGCTCACGGATTTAGAGGTTCTGTCCATGATCAATTGACCTCTAAGATGGGGCAAAGATTCAGCAGGAGTGATGGGAGGCAAACTACTCAATTCACAGCCAGGACATGGGGGTAGCCCCCAGTGACCTGAAGGATGCTCACTAGGGCTCACCTCTTAAAAGATCCACCACTTCCTAAGAATGCCACTCTGGAGACCAAGCCTACAACACATACATTTTGGGGACACTCAAGATCCAAATACTGACAGAGCATGTGGTTGGGGCCCTGGATTTTGTCATCTGGCTAGTCAGTTGTGTGAACTATTATTTACTGAAAATTGTGGAGGAAGAAATGGTTGAACAGGCTAACAAGGAGAACTTAGGCTCCAAATAATTCCTTGGTATGTGCAACCCTGTTCGTGACCATATTTCAAGCAACAGTGAGGACTCAGGTGAGCTATTAGAAGCTATTCATTAAAAAGAGGGCTTTGCAGGGTTAGAGAGATATTCAGTTGGTGAGGTACTTGCCTTGAAAACATGAATATCTGAACCAAATGCACCTGTGTGAAATACCAGGCATGATGCTATATGCTTTTGGTGCCAGCCCTGGGGAGGTAGAGACAGGCAGATCTCTGGGTCTCTCTGGCCAGTGGCCAAGCTGAATCAACAAGCATCAGATCCAAGCGAGAGTCTCTGTATCAGAAAACACAGTAGAAAACATTCTGAATGATATCTGAAGATGGACCTCTGGCCTTCACATGCAGGCACACACATGCAAACATACAAAGGACTTTGCTGAGTAATGATACCTGCAAAAGCATTCCCAGCTCTGCGAGGGAATGGCAGGACAGGTTGTCTTCCTTTAAAATTGTTTATCTAAACCTTCTGCAAGACAAAGGATACTGTCTATAGGACAAAATGGCAGCCCACAGAATGGGAAAAGATCTTCACCAACTCCACATCTTACAGAGGACTGATATCCAAAATATATAAAGAACTCAAAAAACTAGATTTCAACAAACCAAATAATCTAATTAAAAAATGGGGGTGCTGATCTAACCAGAGATTCTCAACAGGAGTCTCAGAGGGCCGAGGATCACTTAAAGAAATGTTCCACATCCTTAGTCATTGGGGAAATGCAAATCAAAACTACTCTGAGATTTCACCTTACACTTGTCAGAATGGTTAAGATAAAAAACACAAGTGATAGCTCATGCTGGAGAAGATGTGGAGCAAGGGGAACACTCTTCCACTGCTGGTGCGAGTGAAATTGTGTGCAGCCACTTTGGAAATTAATATAACAGTTTCTCAGAAAATTGTTAGTTGATTTACCTAAAGACTTAGCTATACTACTTCTGGACATATACCCAATGGACACCTCATCCTAACACAAGGACAATTGCTCAACTGTGTTCACAGAAGCTTCATTCCTAATAGCCAGAAACTGGAAACAACCTACATGTTCCTCAACTGCTGAAGAATGGGCAAAGAAAATGTGGTACATTTGCATAATGGAGAATTTTTTATTATTTAGCTGTTAAATACAATGACATCATGAAATTTTCTGACAAATGGATGGAACTAGAAAAGATCATCCTGAATGAGGTAACCTAGACCCAGAGAAACAAACATAGTATGTGCTCACTTATAACTGGATATTATTTGTAAAGTAAAGGATAACAAATCCACAGACCTAGAGAGGCTAAGTAACAAGGAAGGCTCAAGGGTGGAGGGGGCACATGAATCTCACTGTGAAAGGGAAAGAGAATAGACATTGTCAGTGGAGGGGTATCTGGGTTGGAGGTGGTGATTGAAATAGGAGGGATAAGGTGGGGTAGGATGGAGGGAGAGAGTACTGGGAGAGACAATGGAATCGGGTGTCTCTGGAATGAGCTGGAATCTCTGAAATGAGCTAGAATCCTAGTGCAATGGAAACTCTCAAGAATCTATGAGGGTGATCTAGCAATGTGCCAGGGGGTAGGGGGGGAATACAGAGCCTGAACTGGTTATCTTCTATAACCAGGAAATACTTTCAGTGGAGGGACTAGAACACTAACCCAGCCATTAAACCTTCGGCCTACAATTTGTCCTGCCTACAAGATGTGCTGGGGTAAAGGTGTTGCAGAAATTGTGAACGTGGCCAACTAATGACTGCTGTAGTTTGAGACCCATACCATGAGAGGAAGCTCACCTTTGACACTGCCTAGAGGGCCAGGACCCAGAGGCAGGATAGTCCAGAGACCTAGGATAGAACCAAACATGACTGGAAGACGACAAAAAAAGTCAATGAAAGGATTCTGAATGCCATTTTGTTATACTCATAGATTGGTGCCTAGCCCAATGTTCATCAGAGAGGCTTCACCCAGAAACTGATGGAAACAAATGCAGAGACCCACAACCAAACATTATGCAGAGCTTGGGGAATCCTGTGGAAGAAGGGGAGGAAGGATTGTAAGAGACAGAGGGTTCAAGGACACCACAAGAAAACCCACAGAATCAACTAACCTGGTTTCATAGGGTCTCACAAAGACAGAACCAACCTGCAAGGGAGCCTGCACTGGGACTGAACTAGGCCCTCTGTACATATGTGACAGCTATGTAGCTTGGTTTTCTTATGGTACGTCTAACAGTGGGAGCAGGGGCTGTCTGACCCTGTTGACTGCTTTTGGTATTGTTTTCCTCCTAGTGGGCTGCCTCATCCAGCCTTAATAGAAGAGGTGGTGTCTAGTCTCATGGCAACTTGATACACCAAGGCTGGTTGACATTCATGGGAGGCCTGCATTTTTCTGAAAAAAAAAAATGGAGAATTGGGGAGGGGCTGGGAGGAGAGGAGGAAAACTGTTGTTGGGATGTAAAAACAACAACAAAAATGACAAATACAAAATAGATTGTTTATCTAATTATGGAGCATAAGACTTAAGTCTGGTGTTCACTGTTAAAGCAGAAGAAGGAAACACCACACAATTAACCTGTATCTGGGTTCATGTACAATCCAGAAATCATTTAAAGTAAATCCATCACCCATGTTTAAATAATTTCCAAATCTACAACAAACATTAGGGGAGCCGTTTATGATTTACAAACAAAGAATTACTGGAAGGGGGAGGAGCCTCTATGTTCTCTGGGATTGAACAGGGAATAACAGAGATAGGCAATTTCTTCACGGACTCTTTCTCGGGTGTGAGGGACAGCTATGTGAGGAAAACCTTGTATTATAGCTGCATGCAGAGCTGTGTCAAATTAGATGTGACTGAAAAGGTTGGTTGATGGGTCTAGTGTCAGGATTTCTTGGGGGCTACTGACGAGTTAGTAGTGTATAGCATTATGCATGCATTGACACACAAAAGATAAAACTGTCAGAATCTGTGAAGAGTCTCACGGAACCTTTGTGAATGAATTCAGACAAGGCTGCCTCCTTTTCATCTTACTCTTCAGTCAAGAGACCAGGAGAGGGTTGGGAATGTAGTCTAGTTGGTATGGTGCCTGAGTAGCATTTGGGAAGCCCTAATACCCCATAGACTGAGTGTGGTGATACACATGCAGAATCCCAGCACTTGGGAATTGGAGTTAGGAGAATCAGTTAAAAATCATTGGGTCATTCTCAGCAGTACAGCAAGTTTGAGGTCAGCCTGGACTATAAAAGACATCGCCTCCCCAAAACAAACAAACAAAATAAAAAGCAAAGAAACCCGACGTGGCTCTGCTTAATAGACAAGAGAAGGTCAATGTTAGCTCTTGCCTTGTTAGCCTGATGGTGCAAGTCTTATCCTCAGACCTTTGAACTTAAGACAATGATATAGTCATCCAGGGAGAATGTTTATCAGGCACCAACTTCTTCAGTGCCACATAATTCTCATGTGCTGTCATTACACAATTGGTCCGTGCCTTCCTTAGCCATCTGGGAGGTTCAGTGAACAGGAACATCTGATGTCCCTAGTATGTTGAGACACTTAGCTGTGAGCCCACACACAGTTTGATTGAAGAGCACTGTGAGTGTGCTAAAAGCTGTAAATATGGGTACTGTGATAATAAGTGAGAAGCAGCATGGTTAATTGATGCTATTTGACTGGTGAAGGCAGCAATTATGGAATGATCCAGTCTGGTGTGCCCCAAAGAGCGGCAAGGACCTTTTATGCAAAGAGACTGGTCAGAAAATTTGCATCCCACTCACTCTTGAGACCACCAGAAATGATATTAAGCCTCGAGTTTTGATATATGGAGAAAACTGCCTACCTGTCTGTGTGCCTCTCTATCTGTCTGTCTGTCTGTCCATCTATCTTTACAGTCTTTTAACTTTCTAGTCAGTTGGCAGTACCAAGAGACACTGGGTCCCCATGTCCCACCAAACCTCAGGCCCTTTGCAGATCCACCAGGGTATGATGTGCCTGGAAAGCTTTTCCCTGACTAGAGTATAATGAGAACAGGATAACGCAGGGATACAAATTTTCAGGGCTGCAGGGCTTATGACAATGACATCACTGCTGCTGCAGAGTTGCAGACTATCCTTGTTCTCCATGTAGATCCAGATGCTTTCCATTTGCATGTTCAATTGTACATTAAAGCCCCCAGATCCCTGAACTCGATTTATTTATTTCAAAAAGAAAAAAAAAAAGCTGTCGTGAGATGACTGTAAAAGGGAATGGTGTGAAAGTGTATGCATTTCTCTGCAGTTTGCTTTCACAGCTCATTTCCCAGATGGCATGCAGATGTGTGCCTTCGTTCTTGGGCCTCTCCCTAGGCAACCTCACATTTAAATCTTGAACACCAGCGTCCTTCTCTTCCTGCATCTTTCAACTCCTATTCCACCTGCCTAGGAGACATTGCTTCTGGAATGGTCTGTAGCCCCTCCATTCCAGATATCCACCCTGAGTTTCCTGTCTTCCCAGCTCATTCAGCCATGTTCTCAACTCAGTGGTTAACACTGCCTGAAAATCAGAAGCAGACAGGCTGGCATTATTGTTGAAGGATTAAGAGGTGTATCACAGAGGGGTAGGGCCTTTCAAATTGAGCTCTGTCTCTACTTGTGAGTATGATGCAAGTGCTCACTGTCATCATGTACCATAACTCTCTGAGACTCTGAAAATTGAGGGCCACATTAAACGCTTCTTTTTTTGACTTTTTAAATTTGAATTACAAACAAGATTGACATGACATGACACAAACATGACAATCCCAGTTCCCTTCTACCTCCCATCCTCCCCTACCACCCCTCAACTAAAACCCTACCTATTACATATCCTTTCTTCTAATCTACACCTGACTCAACCTTTCTGCTCCCTCATGACCTCTGCGTTCTTACTTTTCTTCCCTTCTCATTCTCGTAGCTCCCTCCCCACCTCTTCTCATGTTCTCAATTTGCTCAGGGGATTGTGACCCTTTCCCATTCTCCAGGGGACAATGTTTGTCTCTTTTAGGGTCCTCCTTGTTTACTAGTTTCTCTGGCAGTGTGGATTGTAGGCTGGTAATCCCTTACTCTAGGTCTAAAATCCACATATGAGTGAGTACATATCATGTTTGTCTTTTTGTGATTGGGTTACCTTGCTCAGAATGGTTTCTTCAAGTTCCATCCATTTTCCTGCAAATTTCAATATTCCATTGTTTTTTTCCACTGAGTAGTACTCCATTGTGTAAATGTACCACATTTTCTCTATCCATTCTTCGGTTGAGGGGCATCTAGGCTGCTTCCAGTTTCTGGCTATTACAAAGAATGCTGCTAGGAACATCGTTGAACAGATGTCCTTGTTGTCTGAATGTGCTTCTTTTGGGTATATGCCTAGGAGTGGAACTGCTGGATCTTGTGGTAGACTCATTCCCATTTTTTTGAGGAGTCGCCATACTGATTTCCAAAGTGGCTGTACAAGTTTGCACTCCCACCAGCAGTGGAGAAGTGTTTCCCTTTCTCCACATCCTCTCCAGCATAAACTGTCATTGGTGTTTTTGATTTTAGCCATTCTAACAGGAGTAAGATGGTATCTCAGAGTTGTTTTGATTTGCATTTCCCTGATGGCTAAGGATGTTGAACACTTTCTTATGTGTCCTTCAGCCATTTTAGATTCCTCTATTGAGAACTGTCTATTTAGTTCTGTATCCCACTTTTTAATTGGATTTAAATGCTTCCTTCTATAAGTTGCCTTGGTCATGGTGTCTTATCACAGAAATAGGAGAATAACTAAGGCTTTAGCATTGGTGGTTCAATGGTAGAATTCTCGCCTCCCACTTGAGAGACCCAGGTTCAATTCCTGGCCAATGTGGTCTAGTTCCTCCTTCCCATTCTGCTTGCCACCTATAGGGTGTTTTAGTGAGGGGAGAGAAATCTAGCACCAGGACCCAAGTCTTATCTTTGAAGGGTGGTGGTGGCACTCGGGAGGCAGAGGCAGGCGGATCTCTGTGAGTTCGAGACCAGCCTGGTCTACAAGAGCTAGTTCCAGGACAGTTTCCAAAGCCACAGAGAAACCCTGTATCGATAAAACAGAACAAAGAGAGAGAGAGCGCGAGCGAGAGAGTAACTAAGACAGCTACTCTTTCCAAGGGACTCAATTACAAACTCCCAATATTTGGAGATGCTAATAGATATAATTTTAATAAATCATTAATAAGCCCCTCTTTAATTTTTCCCAGTCTTTTCCTTTGGAGTGAACAATCTAGTAAGGAAGTTTTGAACATGTCTCCCCAGTGCCCAACTCAGCCCAAACTCTTCTAAGTAAAAAAATAAATCTCTGACCATTCCCATTTTTCATGACACCAGAATGAGCAAAGGTGGTACTTAAAGGAGAACTTACATGTGAAAATCTGAGGTAAGCTTCATTTTATTTCCTTGTGCAACCTCTATTAAAATCTCTAATATCAAATGTTAAGCAACATATTATTAGGGAAATAATGTGAATAGTGTCTGGGGCCCTGGCTGGGACTTTCACAATACTCTGTGAAGACAAATGATAGACAAGAAAAATCAATACATTCTGAGGGTGGCCATCAAGATGTATGGACAAACTCACATTAAATGTCTTCATATCTAAAGATGATATGATGATGGTAAGACTGGGGAGAATGAGCTTCAAAAGGGTTTCTCTTCTCTATGAACCACCCTTCCTTTGCCAGTCCCCAGCCTTGGATATGAACACCCTTTGTTCTTTGGCATGGGCAGTGAGTTTTGCTAAGGAAAACTGCTATTAGGCAACACCAGCTGCACCTTTGGTTCTGTTCCTGTGTCCTTACTCATCCCTTGTTGGTACCTTGCTTTAATTCAGGCCACACCTTATGCTGTATCAAACCCTAGCACCGTGGATCCTTAGAGACTGGGGCAGGATGGAGCATGCCTAGAAGCTTGGCCACTCAAAGCCATGCCCAGTGAGGAATTCTCAAAAGAATTCTAGGTGTGTCACTGGAGCACACAAGAGCTGCCTTCAGAAGTCAGAGAGTCCTCTGGGAGATTCAAAGGACTGGAACTTGAACTGAGTGTCAAGAACTTCAGGACAAAAGGGTTCGAAGATCAGGATAAGCAAGATCCTCCAGGAAGCTTCTCGAGAGAGTTTCCTTTCCCTGGATCAATGCTGACTCTTCAGTTACTGATGGAACTAGAATTTGGGGGTCCCTAATAGTCAAATAGACTATTATCTTTTTACAGCTTCAGATTTATTTTTAAAAATATCTCCACATTGCTTTATGTGCGGGAGATACATTCTTTGTGGTTAAAAGAGCTTCTGCTGGGAAGGAGAATATGAATGTGAAAAGATAATTGCTGCATGGTATTAGAAGTGCCACACTAAAGGATGTCTCCGACAGCACAAAAGAGGGAGTGACGACTGCTGCAGAAGTGGGAGAAGGTTTTCTATAAAGGAGGTGGGTTTTAAGATCCATCTTATATAATCAGGCCAATGTGTTCACTTGGGAGAAATAATGTTTGCAGAACACTATTTGTGTTCACATGGCAGGAAGCATTTAAGATCAGAGTTGGTATCATTTTAGAAGAACTTGAGATCTTTGTGCCTTTAATTATGGGAGAAACTACCAGAGATGAGTAGTGGATGAGTGAAAAGAAGACTCCCCCATTGTTCTAAAAAGTTGTGAAATGTCACATGAGGTGGCTAGACATTGAGGCCACTGAAGAAATAAGGAAGTTGGCCACGGGGAACAAGGGAGGGGCAGGTAATTGTGGGAGAATTGATACCGGGTTCATGAAGATACAAGATCAAGTGAGAATGGCTCACAGATACCAGCTGGCATGGCTGAGTAGTTGATGAGAATGGGGCAGAGCAGGAGGTAATCGAGAGCTGGACTTTGGTTGTGGTGATTTACAGATATGCCTGGAGCTTCAAGTTGGAATGGTCTGATGAAATGAAGTCCAGAAGAGAGAGGCTGCAATATATTATCACAAGAGGCTGTCAAGATGCCTTCTCAGGAATGTCTTCCTTACTTTAAGAACATTTTCCAAATAAGCCCGGTGTGGCAGCACATGTTTGTAATCCCAAAACTCCGAAAGCAGAGGCAAGCAGATCACTGTGAGTTCTAGGCCAGAGTATATATCCAGATGCTGCCTCAAAACAATTAAAATGAAATTTCCAAAACATATAACAGCCTAGGAAACAATCCTGCTGTTAATATCAAGTTTCAATATTGATTACCAACTATGACTCAACTATCCCTCTGTTGCTTACCTAGTTTATCATTTTAAATACAATATGTTTTTACTTTGTATACAATATTTTAAATAATTTTTTGAGATTTTCATATATGTGTACAGAGTATTTTGATCATATTCATCCCACACTCTTCCCCCAAATCCTTCCTAAGCCCCTCCCCACCTCTTCACTCCCCTCCCAATTTTATGTCTGCCCTAGTTAATGTTTATACTGCAATAAAACACCATGACCAAAAGCAGCTCGGGCAGGAAAAGGTTTATTTTATTTTTCAACTCAGAGGTCATACTCCTTCACCTAGAGCAGTCAGGGGAGGAACTCAAAGGAGGAACCTGGATGCAGAAACTAAAGCAAAAGCCATGGAGAAATGCTGCTTACTGGCTTGTTCCCTGGGCTTGCTCAGTTTGCATTCTTATACAACTCATAACCACTTGTCCAGGGTGGCATTACCCACAGTGAGCTAGTTCCTCCCACACCAATCATTAATAAGGAACATGACTGTCAAATGTGTTTACAGCCCATACAGCTCATTGTTGTGGACGAATTTCTAAATTAGGAGTCCCTCTTTCAAAATGACTCTAGTTTGTGACACATTGACATAAAACTAACCAACAAAGTGTCTTTTTTATTTTTAATGAGCCAGTGAGTTCAATTTGGGCTGCCCCTCTATGCATGGGTGTAGTGCTTGCTAATCACTTAGATTCAAATACCCCATGTCTGGGATTTCCCTCTCAAGTGTAGACCTTCGTGTTTACCAGTCATGTTTCTATCATGCCAAGAAAGCCAGTTAACACAAGAGAATAAAACAGGCATCAGGAAAACACAGAGAGAAAGACTCTCCATTCTTGGAGTCTGGGACTTCTAGAGCTCTGGAGTCTTCCCTGCAGTGTGGGTATTTGACCTGTAGAATCTTAGAGCCAAAATTTTCTTTACCACCAGACGTTCTGACTAATCAGTCCTTCCCAGAGCTGTGAGCTACCCTGGGGAGCATATTCTGTCCTGGGGACAGCTTTCCTTCACTGACCTTTTACACAGAGCACATTTCCTTAATGGCACTGTCCTTAATCCCAGCAGCAGGGAGGGATGGCCACTCCCACCTCTGAATCACCAGGCCCTCTCATGGTGCCCTGGTATTCTCTGTTGTTCTAAAAGCTACCGGGGCCACACAGAGGCCTCTTATACAGTTAAAGGCTTCTGAAAGTCAGTGTAGGTTCCCTCTCTCACTACCAGCATCGACATACACAGTCCAAAGTTTCCACAAAGGTCTGATGACTGTACAAAGAAATAAAGGGAGTTTCACTTTGTTTAAAGAAAGACAGAGAGTCAAGCAAAAGCTGAGAAGATAGTTGCAAAGACTAGGGCAGTATCTCAGAATTCCTAAGTCACAAATATATAATAGAAAGTGAGCATCAAAAATTTTTCAGAACTATAGTCATAATAAAATCAAGAAATCAGCATTATTGTTATATTATTCTTTTTGAGATTGTGTGGCCCAAGTTTATTAGAACTCATTTTGTAGTCCAGGTTGTCCTCAAGTTAGTGGTACTCCTCAATGTCTCAGTCTTCCCAAGAGCTAGTGTTATAGGTATGACCCAGTATGTCCAGCTGCTTGTGTACTAATTTAACAAAAATATTAAGGCTGCACACATGAAACCATAGTCATTTCTCTTTCTAGCATGCCCCCCTCCCCGACTCCACCCAATGAAGATGACCAGGACTAAAAACAGCATGCCCTATATCAGAGCTTCTCAGACTATACTATCCTAGAAACATCTGGGGGCCCTGTTTCAGGATAGATTTTCACTTCCTAGATCTGCAGTGACCTGAGATGGCTTCGGACAGGGCACACTCCTGACAATACCAACATCTGGCTGGGGTGGGACACTCTAGAGTACAAGCATAGTCAGCAGTGGTCTCCAAAGTAACAGCCAGGGAGATTCAAAAGTACACAACATCCCAGTCCTAGATGTTATGATTTGATTTATCTGGGCTGAAGCTGGGTTTGGGGGATTTTAAAAGATCTCTAAGCTATTTAAATATGCAAACAACTCAGGGACCTTTTTATACATGAAAAATCGAGATATTTTTGGCACTGATGCTTCCACAGAAGCATTATATGTTTTAATATGTAAATATAGAGAAGCAAAACAGAGAAAGCTTGTGGTTCTGCTCTGAGATTAATAATCATCAACACATTACCATACTAAATCATTTGGGTCATACATATGTATACAGACACATATATGTGTGTATATATATGAATATACATACATATATATGTTCAGATAATTCGTATTTCTGCTGAAGGAGATCAAATCCATAGAACCCTTTAATTCATCATAATTTATTTTTGGAACCAACCCATTTGGGGACACTCGTATTATCTGAGATCTGGAACATTTAAATTATTTCACATTTAATTTCCATGTTGTACTCATAGTTTTGAAAGTGTGTTCTGTTTTTCTTTAGCCTTTTTGGACACATGACTGTCTTTCCTTTGGGGGGTTTATTTCATGTGTATGTGTGCCTGTATCTGCGTGTCTGCCACATGTGCACAGGTATACTTGGAGATTAGAAGAGGACATCAGGTTGGAACCCTGGACCTGGATCCTTCT